CTAATAACCTTTCAGTCAAGGGTCACTATCTCTGTTCGCCTGCTCCCTCTCGAGTGGATTTCTAGTCAATGTGGCTATAATGTCAAATTTCTGAAACTTGGTTTCGATGAATCCCCTTCATTTCGAATGAGAGTGCATGAAGAAGAGATTCTTTGGTCGATCTCACCAGATGATGGCGGATGAAACTCGTTGTACTGCAGCCGTTTGGCTTTTATTCGACGTTCAGGTTGATGCAGTCCACGACAATTCCTCCCTCGTCTCGGGTGAAAACGGGCTGAGCTTTCGTCCATCAAATGATGGACATCATCAGAGCTGAGTTTCATTCTTGTAAAAGTCTCAAGTTAACACTAAAGCAACAACACTATCGGGCTCTATCTTACTTCTTAGATAGACTCAATCAAATCAAAAAATTAAAAATTAAAAACCTAGATAGATTGATATAGAATGGTTTGTTTAATTTTCTTTAAATCATTCTATATCGATCAATCTAGGTTTTGAATTTTCAATTTATTGCCTCGATTGAGTCTATATAAAAAGTAAGATAGAGCCGGATAGTGTTGTTGCTTTAGTGTTAACGTGAGACTTTTACAAGAATGAAACCCAGCTCTGATGATGTCCATCGAATGATGGACGAAAGCTCAGCACGTTTTCAACCGAGACGAGAGAGGAATTGTCGTGGACTGCGTCAACCTGAACGTCGAATAAAAGCCAAACGGCTGCAGTACAGCAAGTTTCATCCGTCCTCATCTGGTAAGATCGACCAAAGAATCTCTTCTTCATGCCCTCGCATTCGAAATGAAGCCGACTCATCGAAACCAAGTTTCTCTTCGTATCAACTTCTCTTCGTATGGAAGAGCCACGACGCACTGCTACTCGCATCGCCAAGACAGTAGTCACGTGGCGCCGGTTGAAAAATGGTAAAAGGGCAAGTTGCCACTTACCAAAATCATGTTGGTTGAATTGGAGTCGTTTCCAGGATACGGGTGGTTAATCGCCAGGGCACAGCAATTGGCCATGATGGTGAAAAGAATGAACCATTCAAAGGGTCTTTTATAAAACAGTAGTCAAGGGCCATTTTATTGAGAGAGTTTAGTCGCGAAAAACAAAACATTTAAGCACATTAAACGCTATACAGGCTAGAATGACTGGCGCATTATGCAATATACCACTTGTAGTGATGTGGATCTCTTCGAGTGGATGAGTTAATCGGGCTGGCTGATGCTGCACGAGCCAACCTTTCAAATGACGCATCAACCTGACTTCACCTATTCCGGACCGAGCGACGAACGCCATCAAATTGTCGTCATGACTATTCACAACTGCTAATGCTTCTGTGTATGTTACTTTTGGTGGAGGAAGGTCTGTTATCGCGAAACCTTAGGACCCGTGCCAGAGAGCTGCTTTCGAGCCGATCTTATAGGGCCTCGCAGTCTTCCCGCCAAATGTATGCATGCGTGTACGTGTGTGTGTATGCGTGAATAGAGCGGCAAATGAGGGGGGCCTACTTTTCATCTGTTTCTCGGCCGGCCGTGGAACCCAAATTGCCACATGCCGTCTTTCAGAGCCAACCCCAAAGCCCGTCCCTGCCGCGGTATCGCATGCAGCAGCCGACGACGCAGTGACAAGATGAGCAAACAGGCGCTATGCTCTCGGCCGTCGGAGCGCACGGTCGTGGTGTCGATTCTGCCAGTTGGTCGGAGGCGATCGATATTTGAAACATTGGCCTACGATAGAGAAACTGTAAGACAAAGTGTGCCCAATTCCTTGGCCGCGGTGCTTACGGCCGATCCGCTTAGACGGCCCAACCGGCCGCCAACTCAGCCGGCCAGCCGACTGACGGACACTGATCGTGCAGCCTGCCAAAGTGGAGGGACAGCTCTCATCGATCCACTGGACCGACTGGGGCGGCCTCATGGATGCACCAATTTTCCGAAAACCGTACACTCGCACACGCACACACGCACTTGGGCACAGGTGAGCGCAGCTATAAATGCGCACCAGCCTGCACACACACACACACACAAGCATACAAACAGACAAGTAGACGTGCAAGTGGGCAAAAGAAGTGGGCCAAGCGAGAGGCGTTTGCGCGTGCGATCTCTTTCACTCTCGCCCTCGTCGAAAAGACACGCGCGCGCCGGTCGCCTGCGCCAGACCTTGCCCCCGATGCTTTATCCTTCTGCGCTGTCCACAAGACTGCCCAACACGAGGCCTGTCAGCCCGTCTGCCTTCTATCGATTTTGCCGGTTGCCTAGGCGGTCCGCGATCGTGTTTCTGGTCGCCCAGGCTTGGGCACCTGTCTGTCGGGCGTGCGTGTGCAGGCGCAGATCCGGGTCTGAGGGTAGCGGCAAGCGCAGAGATGAGCGGCCGCGACGAACATTCGATTCTCGAATTGACGAGCAAATTGTGGAGAAGGCGAGTTGAACCGGGCGGCGGCAGAAGCGAACAGGCCGCGCTCGACGGCGAACGCGTCCAACCAGCGCCTGGCGCCGGTCAAGTCAAGGGACGAAGCAAGCAAAGGGACAAAAAAAAGAGAAATAAACAAGCCAGCGCGGCTGGGCTGACTTTGCGAGAATCGGCGTCGCTTGAGCAGACAACGCCGAAAGGCAGCCGAGCTGGTCATCACGATCGCCGTCTTCCAGACTTCACGGCCGGCAGACGTGTGCTTCACACAAACACGAACACAAACACAAACACAAACACGAACACAAACACAAACACGAACACAAACACTTTTCCCCATCTCCCCAGACAACCCGTGCGCATGCGGCGACAGTCATTTTATACGAAGAAAAGTTGGGTTTCAAGAAATCTGTTGTTTCATAATTGTTGAGATTACTTCCATTTCATGGGAGTTTTCTTGACTCGTTAGCTTGAATTTGGTTGTGACGATGATACATTGCTCTGATGGTGTCTGTCATATGACGCACGAAAGCTTAGCACCTTTTGT